AGTAAGAGGTGGAGGTCCAGCAGGGTCAGAATCATATTCTGTTCTTAAAGGTGCAGGACCACAATCTGAACCCCTGCAAGTAGACTGCTGCAAATAATTGCGTACAACCCGATGAAAAATTTGAAGTGGACATGAGAGGTCTTGTGGATGTATGGGAGGTTTCTTCAGTATTTGAGCTGTTAGAGACTGGGTCACAGCAGAGGCTGTGTCATTATTATTATACAGGATTTATATAGCATCAACAGTTTACTCAGCACTTTACAATATAAATAGAGACAATAAAGCAACAATACAATTCAATATAAAATGGTTAGGAGGGCCCTGCTCCACGGAGCTTACAATCTAAATTGGAGACGCTGGAAGAACAAAAAGGTAATAACTGTTGTTGTGTCTTGGTTTGGGACCCGTAAAGCACTCTGCACACAATACACAAATATATACAGGTAGGTAAAGCCAAAATGCTGGGTCCCATCCTCAAAGGTAAGAACAGTTTGGATATAAAAAAGTAACATTCCAGGAGGGCAGCTTTAGATTTTCTTTAAAGGAACATGTTAATAGAAATATTGGGGCTTTGCTGTTGGTGATGTCAAAACCCATGCATGATCTGCCTACTTGTTCCAGGATCAGCAATAGAAAAATCAATAAAGCCAATAAATATGCATGACCACCAATAACCAGTTTTGCAAGAACAGTTCAGAAAGAGTAACCCACATTTTTCTGAATACAGGTTTCCTTTACACCTAGGCTTACAGTGCTTTAAAAAAGTATTTGACCCCTTCCTTTTTTTTGGCATATTTGTCACACTTAAATGATTTTTATCATCAAACCAATGTTTAATAATACACAAAGATAACCCCAGTAAATACAAAATGCATTCATTTGAGGGAAAAAAGCTGTCCAAACCTGCCTAGCCGTATGTGAGAAAAGTAATTGCTCCTTAAACCCCTGGCTACATAACCCAAGAGCTTGAGGTCATGGACTGATGGTGGGACATTCTCTTTCAGGATTTTCTGCCAGACCACCGAATTAATAGTTCCATCAGTTATGGCAAGTGGTCCAGGCCCTCAAGCTGCAAAGCAGCCCCAGACCATCACACTACTACCACCACGTTTGACTGTTGGTTTGATGTTCTTTTTATGAAATGCTGTGTTAATTTTACACCAGATGTAACAGGATGGACACCCATCTGAAAAAGTTCCAAATTTTATCTCATTAATCTGCAGAATATTTACCCAAAAGTATTGGGGATAATCTAGATGTTTTTTGGCAGATGTGAGACAAGCCTTTGTGTTCTTTTTGGTCATCGGTGGCTTTCACCTTGGAACTCTCCCATGGATGCCATTTTTGCTCAGTCTCTTTGTTACTGTTGAACCATGAACACCGACCTTAACTGAGGCAAGTGAGGCCTGCAGTTCTTCAGATGTTGTTCTGGATTCTTTATGACCTCCTGGGTGAGGCATTGTTGTGCCCTTGGGAGTAATTTTAGTAGGCCTGCCACTTCTGGGAAGGTTCACCACTCAAGTTTTCTCCATTTGTAAATAACGGCTCTCACTGTGGTTCGCTGAAGTTTTTTGAAGCGTTTCCTTTATTTTTTTGTTTTCAAGTTTTTTTTTCTTTTCCTCCATTTTGTAAATAACGGCTCTCACTGTGGTTCGCTCCCAAAGTCTTAGACATAGCTTTGTAACACTTTCCAGACTAATACATGTCAATTACTTTGTTTCACATCTAATCTTGAATTTATTTGGATTGTGGCATGGTGTGTTGCTTTTTGAGATTTGAGATCTTTTAGTGTGTTTCACTTTGTCAGAGAGCTTCTATATAAGTGATTTCTTGATTCAACAAGGCTGAAAATAATCGGGTGTCGCAAGTGAAATTTAAAGGATAAGTTCACCTTTATACAAAAAATAAATAAATGGACATTTTTGGTAAAAAAAAAAAAAAAAAAAAGTGCATTTATTGTTTTTTGTTACAGGACCCTCTAAAAGCATTGCAGCAGCGATCAGTAGATCGCTGGTGCCATGCAGATCTGTCAATATGTCTGCTTGCCCGTATGGGATGTACAGGTAGGCAGATCTAAGGACAGAAAGACTCAATGAGCTATCACAGCGCTAATTCACAAAACACAGCAAATGAGTGATGCGGCTGGGCGGGCGGAGCCCCGCGCAGCCACTTTTTTTTTTAAATTTGACTGCTAGCGAGGGGGTAGAAGATCTCCTGCTAGCTGTAAAAGTGGGGGAAGCTGGAGCAGGGGCAGGTGCACTCATAACATGTTACAGCCTGAATATAAGTGTAACATGTAACATGCTATGAAAGGTGAACTTATTCTTTAAATCAGCTTTCCAAAAAATTTGATCAATAACAGTTCATTCATGATTTAGCAAGGTAGGGGAGGGACCACAATTACTTTTACACAAAGGGCCAGGCAGGTTTGGACAGCTTTTTTCCCTAATAAATGAAATCATAATTTAAAAACTGCATTTTGTATTTACGTGGGTTATCTTTGTGTAATATTTAAATGTGTTTGATGATCTGAATTATTTAAGTGTGACAAATATGTAAAAACAAAAAAAAAAAAAAAAAAAAAAAAACACAGAAAGGAGGCAAATACCTTTTTCACAGAACTGTATACAGTATTCTGATCAGGCAGTAAATTAAGGGCAATGGAGGGATGGAATTTCTTGGATACAAAGAAAAACCCACAGGTAACTTTAGGAGAAATGCAGGCTGCTCTGAGAAAAAGATGGAGTGGTTGTTTCATGGAGCAAAATATGACGATAATTGAACAAAAATTAGCTGCATAGTCGAGTTGCCGGAAAGATGCTTTTACTGAACAAGAAAGCCAGGTTACAATATGTCCAACAATACCTTGACACGCCTCACCACTTCTGGCACACTTATAGTGAGTGATGAGACCCAAATAGAGCTTTATGGTCACAACCATAAGCACTATGTTTGGAGAGGTGTCAACAAGGCCTATAGCCACAGGAATATCATCACCACTGTAAAACATGATGATGTTTCACTGATGTTTTGGGAGTATGTGAGCTCCAAATGCACAGGGAATCTTTGTTTACTTGCTGCCATGTTTTGTTTTATGATTGTGCCATTCTGTTATGGCCTACAGTTGAACATGAATCCCATACGAAATAAAAGAAATGTGTTTTGCCTGCTCACTCATGTTTTCTTTAAAAATGATACATACTATATTGCCAATTCTCCAAGGGTATGCAAACTTTTGAGCACAACTGTATAAGAGTCTAAACTTTGGTCCTCTGCTTCAACAGAGATCAAATGAGTACATGGCTAGGTTTGTTGTTTATAGAAGAAGTGCCAGATAAAGCCTAAGGCCCCATTCACACTTGGGCATTTTGGAATCGTGGGCAGAACTACCGCAATTCTGCCCATGCTTTCAAAACGCTTTGCTAAAATAATGAATCACACAGCGTGTTCAGGTGCCATTCACTCTAATGGCACATAAAACGCAGTGCAGTTCTGCAGCCACTGTTGTGCAATAAATCACTCTGCAATTGTGGCAAACTGCATTGCACGAAATGCGTTACCCAAAAGAAGCTCCTGAACTTCTTTAGGGCGACACACTTCGCTCGATGAGGTGTCCAACCATTTATCGTGCGTCAATTGCACCATGTTTTTAAGTGCCATTAAAATGAATGGCACCTGAACACGCTGTTCTGAGACTTGCTATTTTAGCATAGCGTTTTGAAATCACAGGCAGAATTGTGGCGATTCTGTCCGAAATGAAAAATGCCCAAGTGTGAATGGGACCTAAATTACATTTTGTTCGAATGTCTTTTATTTCAGTCATCTGGCTGTCCAAACACGTTTTTTTTTTTTTTTTTTTTTTTTTAAGATATTACAACCACTTACCAGAAGCTTTGAAACTGCCCAAACTCTCAAACAGATCAGGTTTATACAATATATGCACATAGCAGCAGTGCTGGAAAGTTGTCTTCGACTGTTCAAATGTTTTTGAGATTATCAAGTAAAAGGCAGTTGAAATCGCAAGGTTCTAAAGGTTTGTATGGCACCATTATATAAAAAGAGTTTTCACATGAAGACATATTAACATAACCTAGAATAGAACATCTCCATATAGGCCAACATTATTTTGTTTTCTGTAAAATTAAAGGAGAAGTATAGCCAAACCTATTTTGACTATACTTCTATGGATCACAGAAGTGCACTTCGTATTTCACACCTGTGACCTATTTTAGGCTGACAGCGGGCTAAAGTCTGATGTTGGCTGACGTTACTCAGCTGGTCCAGGCTCTGGAAAGATCCCAACTTTACATTTGGGAACTACCCAGATGCCTGGACCAAGAGCTGACTCGCTGAGAGCCTGAGCCAGCCCTCCTCAGCCCAGGGCTCCAGTGAGCGCTAAAGGGACAGAGCAGAGAGCCGATGACTGACAGTCACTGCTCTCTGCTCAGTGAAGACCAAGAACCAAGCGATCAGTGGTCTTTGATCGCTCAGTTCTTGGTCTTAGAGGCGGCGGGGGACCGATGCCTCATCTACCTAGGTGAGTATGTATGATAGAAGTTTGGGTTTTTAAAACAAAAAAAAAAAACCTATTCTTTTAAGGCCAAAACATTAGAGAATTATGACATATTATGCCTGTTGCCCACTGGAGAGATTTCCTTCATTGGCTGTTCTGGATATTCAAGAGGAAATGTCTCCAAAGTGAAGAGAAATTCCCTTTAGAGAGCTGTAATCAGAAGAGTTGTCACCACTGGAAGATTTTCCTTCACCTCCTGCTCCAGTCACAAACGTAAAATTATCAACTACCCATTACCCTTTATCCTGGTGACTGTGGTCACAAGGTAAAATAAAAATGACAAACCTCCCCAGAGGGAACAAACAAAAATCTGGCAGAGGTTCTAAATATTCCCGATTCTATTCAAAGTAAAAAAATTAACGTTTGATTTTAAGCATGTTTTTATTTGTAAATATCAAAGAGTTCATTTAAAAATAAAAAAAAGTACCTGTGAAAAGTACCAGCCATACAGAGGAAGGAATTTCAGACCATCCTTCAGAACATATCGAACATGGCCCAAGGCATTCTGCTGCACAGCCATCATGTTTGCAATAATCCAATCAACTAAGGGAAAAACACATGCATGTAAAATTTTGATCCAAGTTTTACTAGCTATTGATACAGCATATCATTGTTTACTTTTCCCCCACTCTTTATGAAAAAAAAAATCCAGTATCATTAAAGTCAATAGGCATGATTCAATAAATGAATTTAAAGTAAATAAAAAAAAAAAATTGCAAATAGCATCTGGATACCAATTACAAATGGTCTAATGATGTAACATACTAACCTGTACATTGATGATTAGATAAATATAAAATATTCTCTTTCTGTGGCAAGTCTCCATATAGCACTATCTAGGATTAAAAAAAAAAAAAAAGAAAAGGTTATACAGAAATTAAGATATACAGTGGATGTAAAAAGTCTACACACCCTTGTTAATCACTTCCCATCCGACCATTGTATATAAAACGGCCGGACGGTGGCAGTGCAGGGTCGGGTGGCAGTTTATAAACGGCCTCCCCGCTTGTGCACGCTCCCTGGGAGCACGCAGCACCGCGATCTGGTACCCGCTGTGTCCTCCGGACACAGTGGAACACCGATTGTCGTACGGGACTTCTCTGCGAGGTCCCGATCATGTGATCACTGATTGGCCAATCAATGATCACATGCAGAGTAGTAAGCAAGATGTCACTTCTGACATCGTTGCTTACTACGTGTGAAATCTGTGAATGATCACAGAGGTCACATGGTACAAGGATATTCACAACAGCCTTGTACCATGTGACAAGCTGTGACCAATCACAGCTCACACAGTAGTTCTCAATGGCTGCAAGAATGCAGCCAGAGAGAAGGAGAAATTATTGCTTTTACAGCCTTTATGGGTGTAAAAGCAATCAGTGTAAAAAGAAAAAAAAAAAATCTTCATCACCCCCCACAAGTAGTACAGTGTCACCATGGTAACACTGTACTGCTAGGGTGACAGTATGTAAAATTTTATATATATATATATACATACATACATACACACACACACATTATATATATATATATATATATATATATATATATATACACACATATACATATATATACACACACACAGTTGCAAGAAAAAGTATGTGAACCCCTTGGGATTACGTGGAGTTTTGCATGAATTGGGCATAAAATGTGCTCTGAACGTTGTAACCCTTTCCAGCTTCATGCAAGTCAACAATTCTTGATCGCAGGTCTTCTGAGAGGTCTTTTCTGCGAGGCATGGTTCACATCAGACAGTGCTTCTTGAAACCAGTAAACCCAAAACAGGTGTGTGTTTTTTAAGGGCAGGACAGCTGTCAGCAACACATCCAATATCATCACACTTTTGGAGTCAAGGTTGGCTCACTCCTGGCTCCAATTAGCTCTGGGAAAAGTAATTAAGCTAGGGCCTCACATGCTTTTTCCTCCCTGCACTGTGAATGTTTACATGTTATGTGCAATTACACCATGGCAACATCTAAAAATTATAATTTTTGGTTATAACTAATTTGAGATTTTTTTTTTTTTACTAAAAAGATAAAATACATTTTGGCTAAGATTTATAATGAAATATTATTTATTTGCAACATTTTATAAGATAAACACTTCTTTTCAAAATTTTTGGACTTTTTCATTTACATAGCAAAAAAAATAAAAAGCCCAGTGGTGAATAAATACCACCTAAATAAAGCTTTATCTGTCTCAAAAAAATTCTAAGAAATTCATATGGGTACAGTGTTGCATGACGGCACAATTGTCACTCAAAGTGTGATAGCGCTGAAAGCTTAAAATTGGCCTGGACAGGAAGGGGGTAAAAGTGTCCAGTCTGGAAGTGGTTAAAATGTCAGGTTTCTCTGATGTACAAAAAAAAGAGACAACTTTTTCCACCATTGATGTGGCCTCTAAACTGTACAACTCAATTGAAAAACAAACTGAAACCTTTTAAGGGGGGGGGCGGAAGCAAACATAAAAATATAAAATAATGTGGTTGCATAAGTGTGCACACCTTCTTATAACTGGGGATGTAGCGGTGTTCAGAATTAAGCAATCATATTCACAATCATGTTAAATAGGATTCAGTACACACCATCATTTAAAGTGCCTCTGATTAACCCAAAGTACAGTTCAGCTGTTCTAAATAGGGCTAATAATAGTCGCATCTTACAGAAAAAGCCATGGTCCGCAGAGAGCTTCCAAAGCATCACAGAGAGATCTCACTGTTAAAAGGTATCAGTCAGGAGAAGGGTACAAAATAATTTCCAAGGCATTAGATATACCATGGAACACAGTGAAGGCAGTCAGAATCAAGTGGAGAAAATATTCCGCAATAGTGACATTACCAAGAACTGGACGTCCCTCCAAAATTGATGAAAAGACGAGAAGAAAACAGGTCTGGAAATCTGCCAAAAGGCCTACAGCAACATTAAAGGAGCTGCAGGATTATCTGGCAAGTACTGGCTATGTGGTACATATGACAATTTCCCATATTCTTCATATGTCTGGGCTATGGGGTAGAGTGGCAAGACACATCAAAGCACAGCTAAATTTTGCAAAAACACAGCTGAAGTCTCCCAAAAGCATGTGGGAAAATGTGTTATGGTCTGATGAAACTTTTTGGCCATAATTCCAAAAGGTATGTTTGGCACAAAAACAACACTGCACATCACCAAAAGAACACCACACCCACAGTAAAGCATGGTGGTTGCAGCATCATGCTTTGGGGCTGTTTTTCTTCAGCTGCAACTGTGGCATAGAGTGAATCGTGAGCAGTTCCAAATACCAGTCAATACTGGCACAAATCCTTTAGGCTTCTGCTAGAAAGCGGAATATGAATAGGAACTTCATCTTTCAGCAAAACAATGCCCAAAGCATATATCCATATCAACAAAGGAATGGCTTCACCAGAAGATGATTAAAGTTTTGGAATGGCCCAACCAGAGCCCAGACCTGAATCCGATCGAAAATCTATGGAAGGACAGGTCCCAGTGTCCTGGAGGTTTTATTAGTGTGTGGGTTCAGAATTATCAGGAGTTGATGAGTACAGTAATAAGGTGAAGAAAGGAGTGAGGGTGATATATAGATAAGCTGTGTGGTGGAGAAGAGGGGTGAAGGAGAGAGAGTTTGAAGAGAGAGGACACAACTGTGAGAAGGAGGAGTAGGGAGTGCATGTTACAGAGTGGTGAGATGAAGAAGCAGACTGGATAAGAGCTGAAAGAGCTGGATGGGGAAACAGGTCACCTGCAGTCTGATTAGTATTTGAGGTTGTCTGCTGTTTCTCGCTTTGTGCATTCGCTGAAGTGCAGAGCCAAAGTGTAATACTTAATCCACGATTAATACTTTATCCATGATGATAATTATCAAAGCTACCCTTGGCTGTGCTGCGCTTCCCCTAAGGAAGGCCTAAATTTATACTGAGTTGGGTGGGGGAATTGCCAATTAATCAATTGGGAATGCTTAGCAGAGACACATGGCTAGCAGGGCAAACTTCTCACACCAAAGGAGGACTACAAGAGACAAGAGAGCAGCAGGGCAGAGTTGTAAAGATTAGGATCAGATCATAAATTTGGGTTAGACAATAGGAGTAAAATAACCACCACAGTAATATGGACCAGAGGTAAAACATTTTGAAGCAATAAGAATGACCAATAAGAACATTGATAGTTATGAATCAGCTTCAGGTACAGTTGGATTTTAAAAGCAGTATAGATTACACGTGTAGCAGTGCAGGGTGAATTAGCGTTCATACATGACATGGGCGATATTACAGATGGATATTGCTCGCAGACCATTACCATATAACAGTGCAGGGTGAATTAGCATTCATACATGACATGGGCGATATTACAGATGGATATTGCTCGCAGACAATTACCATATAGCAGTGCAGGGTGAATTAGCATTCATACATGACATGGGCGGTATTACAGATGGATATTGCTCGCAGACAATTACCATATCGCAGTGCAGGGTGAATTGGCATTCATACATGGCATGGGCGATATTACAGATGGACATTGCTCGCAGACAATTACCATATCGCAGTGCAGGGTGAATTAGCATTCATACATGACATGGGCGGTATTACAGATGGATATTGCTCGCAGACAATTACAATATAGCAGTGCAGGGTGAATTAGCATTCATACATGACATGGGCGATATTACAGATGGATATTGCTTGTAGACAATTACCATATAGCAGTGCAGGGTGAATTAGCATTCATACATGACATGGGCGGTATTACAGATGGATATTGCTCGCAGACAATTACCATATCGCAGTGCAGGGTGAATTAGCATTCATACATGACATGGGCAATAATACAGATGGATATTGCTCGTAGACAAGTACCATATAGCAGTGCAGGGTAATTAGCATTCATACATGCATGGGCGGTATTACAGATGGATATTATTCTCCCAGACAATTACCATATAGCAGTGCAGGGTGAATTAGCATTCATACATGACATGGGCGGTATTACAGATGGATATTATTGCTCGCAGACAATTACCATATCGCAGTGCAGGGTGAATTAGCATTCATACATGACATGGGCAATATTACAGATGGATATTGCTCGTAGACAAGTACCATATAGCAGTGCAGGGTTAATTAGCATTCATACACATGCAATATACAGATGGATGGGCGGTATTACAGATGGATATTATTCTCCCAGACAATTACCATATAGCAGTGCAGGGTGAATTAGCATTCATACATGACATGGGCGATATTACAGATGGATATTGCTCGTAGACAAGTACCATATAGCAGTGCAGGGTGAATACAAGAGGGTTAGGAGGGCCCTGCTTCCTGGAGCTTACAATCTAAGATTGGTGTTCAAATGTGCTGAGAACAGTAAACATTATAGCAGATAACTGGAAATGAGGTCCCACACTTGACTGCTGTTCACCCTTGCACTGCATAGGTTAAATGTTCACTTAACTAGAGGGGAAAGGAAGAAGTACAAAACACCATATTCCTAGCTCCCTCTTCTGCAACTCTTTGTAGCAGACACTATGATACATATTTTCCCTACACAAACATAATTTTTCTATAAATGGGATGCAATCAAAAAAATTCAAGAGAAATGGTGCACACATGCAGCACCTATATGTCCTTGGGCAGAGAAAAATAATGAGTGGCTTAGAGGTTTATATTATTGAAATAATGCTGCTAGCCTGGGGGTATGTTCCATCATTTTCAGGAAGAGACAACAAGTTATTCTCTTATGAGTTTTTATTTGTAACAGATTTTCATATCCTGTATTAAGCCATGCCACTGAAGTTTGCAGCAGAGAACCAAAAGCATCTCATTCCTAAGAAACTCCTAAA